GTGTGTGTGTGTGTGTGTGTGATGGTCACCTGTGTGTGTGTGTGTCTGGATCGTGCAGCTCTGGTGTGTGTGATAGTGGTGTGATGTTCTCTGATTTTCTCCAGCATCATCGGTACTCCTGGCCGTCTGATGCACGTCATCCAGGAGATGAACCTGAAGCTGCAGGCCGTGGAGTATGTGGTGTTCGATGAAGCTGACCGGTGAGTCCAGCTTAAAGCTGTAAGCCCGTAACTTTGTTTGGTTAAAAATGATCCGAAATCAATATTTGTGACCTTGGACCACAAAACCAGTCATAAGGGTCAATTTTTCTGAAAGCGGATTAAATAAGCTTTCCATTGATGTATGGTTTGTTAGGAGAGGACAATATTTGAAAATCTGGAATCTGAGGGTGCAAAAAAATCTAAATATTGAGAAAATCATCTTTAAAGTTGTTCAAATGAAGTTCTTAGCAATGCATATTACTAATCAAACATTAAGTTTACGGTAGGAAATGTACAAAATATCTTCATGGAACATGATCTTTACTTAATATCCTAATGATTTTTGGCATAAAAGAGAAATGTATAATTGTGACCCATACAATGTATTGTTGGCTATTGCTACAAATATCCCCCAGCGACTTAACACTGCTTTTGTGCTCCAGGGACACAGATGAGCAAGTACATAACCCGGTCAGTGTTAAAAACAAAACGTCTTACTTCAGCCCGATTCACAGCGGTTATCTTATAATAATGTTTTCTAATTTTAATGGTACTGGTAGGAATTGGCTGGAAATTCGAGCACGTCTGTAAACGTAAAGGAGTTTTCCAGGATAGTAGACTATATCGCATGTGATGATCCTGCAGGTGACGGATCGTTTATAGCCTTTGCTCACAGCAGCTGGAATAATTACATTTATAATTTTGATGGCGGATTGTAATCCAGAAAGGATTATGTGTTTATGAAACACGTGAATGAAATTAAATTATATTCCAGTTTTAAATGTGCTTCTGATTACAGATAGCCTGGGATTACACAAGATTTGTATTTTAAAGAGAACCAGTTTAAAGGAAGAATAATTTGCTTTATAAGAGTTAAAAGAATTTCTTCATATGAAATTCAAATGGTATGACAATTAGAGATTAGACTGCAGAAATTGAACTCTACACACAATGCTGATGTTGTTAACATTAACAGTTTGAGAACAAAGTATAATAAAAATAATTTGCACGGTTTGATGTGATATGAGCCAAGCGATCGTTGCTATATAAATAATGGTGACTTGACTAATGCAATTAGAGCTCGCTCAAATACTGAGGTGCTAAACATTCAGGGCTTTATTCATCTGTTGTGTTTGTGTCTGTAGCTCCTGACGGTTGAGGGCATTGAGTGCGCCTACATCTACAGCGCTCTGGACCAGACGGCCCGCAAGATCAACATCGGCCGCTTTGTGCACCGCAAGGCCATGGTGCTGGTGGTGACGGACGTGGCGGCCCGTGGCATTGACATCCCGCTGCTGGACAACGTCATCAACTACAACTTCCCGTCCAAGTCCAAGCTCTTCCTGCACAGAGTCGGTGTGTGTGGCATCGGACTGACCGTGGTCCAGCGCTCTGAGGCACAGCTCTAACACTCGTCTCGTGTTTCAGGTCGCGTGGCTCGCGCCGGCAGAGGAGGAACCGCCTTCAGTCTGGTGTGTTCTGATGAAGTGCCTTTCCTCTATGACCTTCATCTGTTCCTGGGTCGACCCGTTCAGCTCGCCCTCCTCGAACACACACCAGGTACGGCAAACGCTACGGACGCACGGAAACTAAAACCAAGTAATAACTGTACTGGTGCACATCATGTTCTGTTTAGATATATACACTACCGTTCAAAAGTTTGGGATCAGTAAGACTTGTAATGTTTTTTTAAAGAAGTCTCTTCTGCTCATCAAGGCTGCATTTATTTGATAAAAAATACAGAAAAAAACAGTAATCTTGCAAAATATTATTACAATATAAAATAATGGATTCTATTTTAATATCCTTTAAAATATAATTTATTTCTGTGATGCAAAGCTGTATTTCCATCATCATTCCTCCAGTCTTCAGTGTCACATGATCTTCAGAAATCAGTATAATATGCTGATTTATTATTAGAATTATCAACAGTTGTGCTGACAAATATTGTTTTGGAAACTGATATTTTTTCAGGATTCTTTGATGAATAAAAAGTTAAAAAGAACAGAATTTATTCAAAATATAAATCTTTTCTAACAATATAAATCTTTGCTGTCACTTCTTAATAATTTAACACATCCTCGCTGAATAAAAGTTTTCAATTCTTTCAAAAGAATAAAAAATGTACTGACCCCAAACGTTTGAACGGTAGTGTGTATGTATGTGTGTATATATATATATATTTAGCTAATGCTCTGTGTATTGTAAATAATACAATGGACATATACTTAAAATAATTGTGTAAGTAGTAAAACAATATAAACACAAAAAAACGTTTTAAGTTTAGAAACGTTTTGAGCCCCCCCTCCCTTGCCTCACAGTGGTTTGGTCCACTGCCTGCTTTCCCCCTTTCCCTCACCGACACATACAGATGATGCTGGATCATTAATACATTACTCATGACAAAAAAATGATGAGATCCAATGTATTTTTCTATGAGCTTAGCTTGTTTAATACCGTAGCTAGTTGGATAGTAAGTCACCCAGTACAACTAACACGGCGATGAGCCTGTGTGTGAGCTGATATTAGGCTAATATTGATCTACCGATGTGTTGGGTTTTCTCATGATGTTAAGTGGCAGATCAGTGGGCTTCAATATCTAAATAAGAGACGTCCTCAGTCCCAGACGAAACCTAAAATACTATGTGGAGGACAAAATAATTAAATAATTATAATATGACCGCGTGGTGAAGATATGAACCGAGCTCATATTTAAACACCGTCTCCATGCTGTGTGTACACGTATCTATCCTTACACGTATAATTTTGGCTGTATTATTTGTGTCCCCTTCAAAAAGTGCACTTGAGAAATGTTATGTTTATTGTTAGATGAAATGTACGCCCTGTGCTCTGTCTCTCGGTCTTCAGATGCTGACGGCGTGTTCGGCCGTGTTCCTCAGAGCGTCCTGGACGATGAAGAGTCGCAGCTGCTGACGGCTCACGAGAACTCGCTGGATCTCCAGAACCTGCGGCGCATCTCTGAGAACGCTTACAAGCAGTACCTAAAGTCTCGGCCCAACCCCGCAGCCGAGTCCATCAAACGAGCCAGAAACACCGAGCTGTCCTCCATGGCTGTTCACCCTCTGCTGGGTGAGTGTGGTTTTTATCAATATAAAAGTTATTTTTCATATCCTGCTTGTAACAAAAATATCTGTAATTTGGCCTATATTTCGTTGCACCCTTACATTACATTCCCTTGACCTATATATAAAATTGGCTATGAATATCCTACATTTCTGCCACAATACCACAGTTACGGTTACTGCAGTAAATCCATAGTAAATGCTGGTGATTTGTGGATTGAAGAGTATAACTGCATTGTTGTCTCACAACGTTTCTCCTGTTTTCCACCCGAAAGAAATGGCAGCGCGCACGAGTTATCAAATGATCACTCATGTTTTACTGCTGCATCTGGTCTAACATTTCGTGCTGCCACCTTGTGTTGATCTTGTGAAACTTCATATTTTGTGTGCTTTAGGTTCTGGACTGGAGCCGATGGAGCTGGACCGGCTGCTGATGGTGGACTCCATCAAGGGCTACAAGGCTAAATCTGTACGTCGTTTATTATTCAGTTCTTCCTCTTATGGTCAGTAGGGACGTAACGATTAATCGCGAGCTGGTTGAAAATCGATTCAAATATGTGACGATTCAAATCGTTTGAGATGTTAAACAAATCACGATTCAGTTAGAGGTAGGAGTTTATATGAATGTGTGTCTGAGGCAAACTTACTGTCTTTAGAAAAGTTTAGATGGTATGAAAATCGATTCAAATATGTGACGATTCAAATCGTTTGAGATGTTAAACAAATCGCGATTCATTTAGGTGTAGGAGTTTATATGAATGTGTGTCTGAGGCAAACATACTGTCTTTAGAAAAGTTTAGATGGTATTTATTTTCCTCTTGCCTCTGTATAATGCATATTAAAGTTCATAAGTGCAGCGCTGCTTTGTTTACAGCGGTAACCAAGGAAAGGCTTTAAGCGCCACCTGCTGGCAGAGAGTGCATCTGCGTCTCGTTCAGCTCGTCTGCTGTTTCGGTTTCATGCAGATATTTTTATGTATAGTTTCACAAAACTGAAGTCAAACCATTCTGTTTTTGCTTCAGATTTCGAAATGATACAACCTAATTTAGATTAAAAACTGCTCGTGTTGCATGTATGCAGCATCTTTGTTTGGATCGTGATTAAAATGCAGCGGTTGCCTCTAATGTTAAATGTTAAGAGCACAGACAAAGCCTTAGTTTGTTTATATGAAGAGATTTATTTTGTGTTATTTGATTTGGGGTTTGTTTTAAAATTTCAATTTAGTTTTGTTGTTTACATGATATTTAAATGTTATTATTTACCAGATGCATTTATCCAAAGCGATTTACAAATGAGAAGCAATCAAAACCAACAAAAGTGTTGGTACTGTACTTCACTGGTTTAAACAATATCAAATCAAATTTTAACAGTTTAGATCGCTCAATTCTGAGAAAAAAGTAGCGACTTACAAATGAGAAGCAATCAAAACCAACAAAAGAGCAGTAATATGCAAGTGCTATATTAGTATATTATTATAGTGTTATATTTCAATTTCACAAAGAAACGTGCAGCATTTTGTCCAAGCAATAATAATTTAATATATTTATTATTATTATTATTAAATTTAATAACACATTTAATTCACAATTTGTCTTAAATCTCATTTTGTTAAAAAATGTATCGAGTTGTGAAATCAAAATCAGGAATCGAATCGTGAAATCAAAGTCGCGAATGGAAAAATCAAATCGTGAAATCAAAATTGAGAAATCAGAATCGTGAATCGAGAAATCAGAATCGTGAATCTGAATCGAGAAATCTAAATCGAGAAATCTAAATCGAGAAATCTAAATCGAGAAATCAAGAAATCTAAATCGAGAAATCTAAATCTCGAATCGAGAAAGCGAATTGAGAAATCAGAATCGTGAATCGAATCGTAAATCAGAATCGTAAATCAGAATCGTGAAATCAGAATCGTGAATCGAATCGTAAATCAGAATCGTGAAATCAGAATCGTGAATTGAATCGTGAAATCAGAATCGTGAATTGAATCGAGAATTCAAAATGGAAGCCCGTCTCTGCCAAAGAATAAAAAATAAAAAAGGTAACTGACTTTCTATCTCACAATTTTGACTCTTTTCTCGCAATTGCAAAAAAAAGTCAGAATTGCGTCAGCGTTTGTGTTATAAAGTCTAATTCTGAGGAGAAAAAAAAGACTTGATATTTTCTCAGAATTGCGAGTTTATATCTCACAATTCTGACTTAATTTCTCAGATTTTAACAGTTTAGATCGCTCAATTCTGAGAAAAAAGTCAGAATTGCGAGATGTAAACTTGCAATTGTGAGGGGGAAAAAAACAGAATTGCGAGATAAAAAGTCGCAATTATCTTAATTTTTTATGCAGTGGCAGAATCTGAGCTGTTCTCATGTAAAGGAAAGCTTTATGGCCAAGCTGCAAAAAATGACTAAAACACCCTAAAAGCCTTACATTATGGCTCCGTATGACCCATGCATGAGGCAGGGCTTCTGCAGCTTTTATGAAGGTACATTTAAGATTTTAATTTAATTTAGATATTATTTAAACTGAGCTGGATGATGATATCACTGAATTCAATGATGAACTGTCTTTAACTGAAAAATGAGTGTTTACTATTGTCACTTTGCATTATTGACACACTATTTCCCTAATTAATGCTGTTCAGTTGCTTTGACACAATCTGTATTGTTAAAAGCGCTATATAAATAAAGGTGACTTGACTTTGAAGTGCAAGTAAAGAAAACTTGGAAAAATGAAAGGAAATGCAATGCATCAATGTGGTCTCTTAATTTAATCTACAGTATATTACTTTTTAATATAAAAAAGGGCCTCTAACACTAGCTTGCTCTATTCTTTTTCTATTCTATCTGTTTTCAGAATTGCGAGATGTAAACTTGCAATTGTGAGGGGGAAAAAAACAGAATTGCGAGATAAAAAGTCGCAATTATCTTAATTTTTTATGCAGTGGCAGAATCTGAGCTGTTCTCATGTAAAGGAAAGCTTTATGGCCAAGCTGCAAAAAATGACTAAAACACCCTAAAATCCTTACATTATGGCTCCGTATGACCCATGCATGAGGCAGGGCTTCTGCAGCTTTTATGAAGGTACATTTAAGATTTTAAAACCCTTTGAAGTGCAAGTAAAGAAAACTTGGAAAAATGAAAGGAAATGCAATGCATCAATGTGGTCTCTTAATTTAATCTACAGTATATTACTTTTTAATATAAAAAAGGGCCTCTAACACTAGCTTGCTCTATTCTTTTTCTATTCTATCTGTTTTCTTTTTATTTATTATATAAAAAAAACCTTGCTGCATGTTCTGCGTTAAGCTAACACTTGTCATAGCACTTGCGTATCATTGCTCTTTTGTTGATTTATCATTGCTTCTGTTGTCCTCATTTGTAAATCACTTTGGATAAAAGCGTCTGCTAAACGACTGAATATAAATGTCATGTAAATAAATGTCTGTGGAGCTCACAATGAGTTTATTAGCAAGACTTTCCAACAGATCTCACTAGAATACGGAAATAACTTTTACTGTACGTTCCTCCGGATTAGAATGCAAGAATGTGATGTTCTTCAGCAGTACTTTTGTTTAGAGATTCTAAATCTTCTCCAATCACAACCACAAGTTCAGATGAGGTTCGAGAGCGTTTCGTTTCCCGTGTGCACGTGTCTGTTTTGGTTCGTCAGCGCTGTATAAACCAGTTCAGATGTGTTTAGGATCAGCTGCATCATATTCTTGTTTCCTCAGACTATCTTTGAAATCAACGCCAACAACAAAAGCAGCGCCGGCGGGGTGATGCGAGCCAAGCGCTCACGAGACGATCGACTGCTCGACAAGTTTTCTAAAGCGCGAGCGGAGCGTATCGTCGAGTCCGCCGTTCCCGCCGTAACCAGAACCGAGGAGGAGCAGGAGCACGAGGAGCTTCAGGTGAGTGTCCTGCAGAGCTTCAGATGCGCTGACGACATCTGCGTCTAAATATCAGGCTTTAGTCTTGAGCTGAACGAGGGCTGTGTGATCAGTCGAAGTCCTAATAAAATGATACGATTTCTGAAAAACATGAAACATTGTAAGATAACGGCACCCTAATACAAATAGGACATTTTTACATTTTCTCACCCATAGAAAACCATTATGTAAAAAACTTTGTGCTGTGTACATATTCATATATTTGGGCTTGCTTGCTTGCCTGTATGTTTTATTAATACACTGTACAGACGAATTCGGTCTTTTAATATCATTGTTATAATGCATTAAGCCACATGAAGCGTTTTCTTGAAACAAGTGCGTTATGGTCATCTTCTGGGTTCTTCATCTTTCCTGTAGATGGTATGTTTTATTAAGAAGGTGTGTTTCAGATTTGGACATTTAATATTAGGGATGCTCCGATATGATTTTATTTATTTTTTTGGCCGATACCGATTTTAATAAACAACTATTGGCCGATACCGATATTGGTCAATAGCATAAAACGGGTTAAAAACTAAATGAAAAAAAATAATTGATCGGTTCACTCAGAATTGGTATTTGAACATTTCCGTTTATAGTTAATAATGTTATTTTAAAAACTTTTTTTTGCCTATAATAATAATAATAATAATAAAGTACAGTGTTTTCTTTACTCAAAGAAAAAAAACATGAGGGTCTTCGCCAATACAGCATAATCTTTTCTAGATTTTGACCAAATGTATTAAACAACAACAAAAACTGTCAAGCATGCTTTAAAGACATTATGGAACTCTTCCAGCACTCGCTGCTGCTGGACACTAAACACCGTCCTAGCCACTCGTGACAGTCGCGGTAGCACGGTCTCCTGTTGTTTCCACCAGCGCCGCAAATCTTTGTCATCACCATAATAATTGATGGATGTCTAAAATATAAACATAAGGAGGAAGCAAGCCTGATGCCTGGCCCGTGTGTGAGCTATGACATGAAAATTGTCCCGAAGCCATACATAAGTTGGGGCCGTTGTGCTCGGGCTGAAATGCAGGGCTCTAAAGCGCAGCTTGTTGCATTTAAGCAGCAAAAATACACACAATGACACCAAAATGGCCATCCTGGCCACACAGTTAAATAAATGATAATATTCAGTGATGTGAAATGTGGAGTAAGGTCTGGCGCAGTTGCAGCTTGTACTTATTACTAAAACAAGAAGGCAAACGAGTAGCGTTAATAGTCATTCATTTTAGTTAACATATGCTATGATAATTTGAACAGATTTTTATTCGTATTGTAAAATAATGGAACATTTAGGTCATGAATATTGTCTCAAAAGTCATGGAAATGTATTGGTAAAAATGTGTACGAACCCTGGACCCTGGAGCACAAAACCAGTCATGACGGTCAATTTTCTAAAATTTAGATTTATGCATCATCTGAAAGCAGAATAAATAATCTTTCCATTGATGTATGGTTTGTTAGGATAGAACAATATTTGAAAATCTGGAATCTGAGGGTGCAAAAAAATCTAAATATTGAGAAAATCATCTTTAAAGTTGTTCAGATGAAGTTCTTAGCAATGCATATTACTAATCAAACATTAAGTTTTGATATATTTACGGTAGGAGATTTACAAAATATCTTCATGGAACATGATCTTTACTTAATATCCTAATGATTTTTGGCATAAAAGAGAAATGTATAATTTTGACCCATACAATGTATTGTTGGCGATTGCTACAGATATCCCCCAGCGACTTAACACTGCTTTTGTGCTGCAGGGACACATATTGTCAAAAGTATTTTCAATTAGTATTTTTTGTCCACATGTTCTCCAGACTGTGTTCTCAGAAGTGGTTGGAGGGAAAAAACGAAAGCAAGATAATGAAGTAGACGGACCGAAGAGCAAACAGAACAAAAAATCAGGAAAAGATGAGGAGTTTTACATCCCGTACAGACCCAAAGACTTCAACTCCGAGCGCGGGTACGACAGCACCACTGCATTATTCTGCATGTTCAGTGGGAAGCATAGACGTTCAGTGTGTGTGTGTGTGTGTGTGTGTGTGTGTGTTCAGGCTCAGTCTCGGCGGTGACGGCGGCTCTTTCGAGCAGCAGGCCTCTTCTGCGGTTCTGGACCTGATGGGTGACGAGAGCAACACGTTAAACCAGAACAAGAGCCTGATGAAATGGTGAGCAGCTCCTTCCCATTAATCCACACGCAGCGCTGTCTGCTTATGCTGAAATTACACGTGTTCACCGCAGGGATCGCAAGAGGAAGCGCTTCGTCCGAGACATGGGCAAAGAGGACAAAAACAAGAAAATCAGGACAGAAAGTGGACAGGTGGTCAACAGCAAAAAGAGGAAGAAGAGCTTGTATCCTTCTTGAAAACAGTCTGTTTTGTTTGTTTAGCACTTTTCATTACATTGTTTCTAAAAGCAGCTTTACAGAATCTGGTGATGATGTTAAGCAATTTCTGAGAAACGGATTGAGCACCAAAACACTTGTAGCCAATCGGCAGTAAGGGGTGTGTCCACTCATGTTGGGGGCGGGGCCTGTGCTGCATAGCATTTTCATAAATTTGGTGCAGACTGATCCTTTTGGGTAGAGGCCCGATTGTTTTGGTGATTTCAGATGTCAACAGCATATCTCATAAAATCACTTACTGCACCTTTAATGTTTAGACAAGTTTTTAAACAGATTATTGAAAGGAATAAATATCTGTTGTTGATTGGATGTTGAGATGTGGGCGTGGCACTTGAAAGAGCGTGCGGGGCGGAGTTTAAGGTAAAAAAATTTAAATATTTAAAAACACACAAGTTCACAATAAGTTCTATAGCATGCTTTTAGAAAATAGATAAGCTGAATTTTAATTTCATAACTACTTTAAATGAATAACATCCCCAATGAATCGTTCACGGCAAAGACCAGTTCGCACCAGCGTGGGAACGGCTTGGTTTCAGTTTTGACGTAAACTACAACATCTCCGCGTTTATGTTCTCTTTTCCTGCAATATTTTGAATAAACAACGCAGCTCCTCATTGCATCTCGTGTGCAACTAGTAAGGCTGCCCGATGCACATCTAAAATTGTGGATTTTTATTTTAAATTCTACAAATATTTTAAATTCTGATTTTTATTTGACAGCCCTAACAGACTCGGTGCTGATGTTATGTAGATTTGTAAAGGCTTGAGGCTGAAATTCGCTTGTCAGGTGGGTTTCTTGACTCTGGTCCAGTTATGAAGAGTGGAAGAAGAAGTATAAGATCGATGACAGAGCGTCAGACTCGGATGGAGAACCTGGAGGAGCGATCCGAGGCAGGAGCTTCGGCGGTAAGAACAGAAGATTGTGCTGTAAACTCATTCAGTCCCGCTGGATTTCCTCTTCCTGTCTAAATCATTCATTACTTGTCATGTAGAATATTTTCATTGATCTTGATTCAATATAATACAAAGAATTTTGCCTATTCCCAAGTGAAAACTATTCTAATATTATGTACTATGATTAATCTAACTGCGTGTAAGGATAGCAGTGAGCTTAGAACAGAGTGAACTATTTAAAGCTTGAAAAACACTCGTATATGAAGAGAATCTGTTCAGGAGCTAGAAATACATATATGACAGCTATTGATCATCCTTTAAGAACTCACATCTGTGACCCTGCAGCACAAAAGCAGTGTTAAGTCGCTGGGGGATATTTGTAGCAATAGCCAACAATGCATTGTATGGGTCACAATTATACATTTCTCTTTTATGCCAAAAATCATTAGGATATTAAGTAAAGATCATGTTCCATGAAGATATTTTGTAAATGTCCTACCGTAAATATATCAAAACTTAATGTTTGATTAGTAATATGCATTGCTAAGTACTTAATTTGAACAACTTTAAAGATGATTTTCTCAATATTTAGATTTTTTTTGCACCCTCAGATTCCAGATTTTCAAATATTGTCCGATCCTAACAAACCATACATCAATGGAAAGATTATTTATTCAGCTTTCAGATGATGCATACATCTCAGTTTTTAAAAAAAATTGACCCTTATATTTAAAATGTACAAAATTATATTGGCGCAGTGTTCATTTTGCTGACGAATAATTTTCGTCAACAACATTTATTTCACTGATGACAACGAGACGATAACGAACTAAAACTGTTTTGGAATGACAAAAAGTATGACGTAAATCTATTGACATTTTAGTCAACGAATAAAAACGAGACGAAAATGTTAGGGAGGGACGATTTGAGAAGAGATTCATTCAGAACGAATCTGCTGCGCGGTTCGGAGGTTAGATGCGTACATATGAACCTTAGTTCAAACTTTAGTAGCCCTAAAGATTAATCTAAATTTATTAATAGAAATAAATGCTTGAAAGAATGAAGAATATGGTAAACAAGTTGCTATAAAGAATGCATAATTAGCCGATATATGGCGTTACGAGGTTTAGTCACAAGCTCTTTTGAATGCTTTTCATTGGTTAAATATTTGTAAAACCCACAAACAGACATAGCGATGACCAATAGCACTGATTTAAAATTATAATAACAAAATATAATAGAGGGGAAGTTTTTGATAATTTTCCACGGCAACCTGTCACGGCACACTGCTTGGGGAACACTGGTCTAACCACGTCTTCAGAGCAATTTATTCTGACCAGAAATATTCTACAACAGCCACCGCTGCTCTGTTTGTGAGCATTTGTGTTGCGGTTTCTGCAGGTCGCAGGGGACGAGGAGGAGCTCAAGCACAGCCGGCCCAGCAGCGGAGCGACTCACACGTGCGATCCGAGCTGAAGAACCGCGAGCAGATCCTCAAGCAGCGCAAACGCAAAGCCAAGCAGCAGTTCCTGCAGACTGGCGGCATGAAGAAGCTCCGTGCCAAAGGAAGACAGCGCCTGCAGGAAGTCATGAGATCCGGCTTTGGTCGAGGCGGCTCCAAGAAAGGAAAGATGAGGAAGAGACTTTAAGCGCCACTTCCCCAACACACACCTTTGATCTATGATGGACAACGTTATATGTACATGCACATATTATATACGGCTAGAATGAGTGAAGAGACTTTAAAGGGTTAGTTCAACCTTGCGCTCACTGTTGTACACAGAAGCAGCTCCGGGAGCATGACGGATGAGGTCTGCGCTGCGCATGCGCCGCTCAGAAGTGACACGTAATAATCACTTTAATGTAGCTTGCGCTCACTGTTGTACACAGAAGCAGCTCCGGGAGCATGACGTATGAGGTCTGCGCTGCGCATGCGCCGCTCAGAAGTGATGAACGCAGAGAGAACAAAACAACGGTCACTAATTAGAAGTACAAAACGAGGATTTGTAAAGAAGAATGTCAGAGGATTTCGATATGAGCCAAGAGGAGACTGGTTTTGCTTTGCTAAAGTAAGGAAACTTTGCTTCCTTTGCTGCTGTTAACAAACGTTGGTTTTCACGAGACTCACCGGCGCATGCGCAGCGCTGACCTCATGCGTCATCCGCCCGGAGCTGCTTCTGTGTAGGACTGCTGGCGCAAGCTACATTAAAGTGATTATTACGTTATGAATATGGATATTTTTCTAACAAAAACGCATGGATTCGCAACAGGAGGCCTGTGTTCACCCCCCGGAGCCGTGTGTGAGACTTTTTTTATTTTTATGGATGGGCTATTTTTTTCACTTCTTTTGGACTGAAGCATGCAACACCCGCTGAGCAGCATTAAACAGCTTGAAAGATCAAAGACAATGTTTAATTTAACTCCGACTGGATTCGTCTGAAAGAAGAAAGTCATATACACCTAGGATGCCTCGGGGGTGAGTAAAACACAGCCTAATTTTAATTTTTGGGTGAACTAACCCTTTAACGCCTTCATCTGTGCATCTCTTCAGCTGCTTTAAAGGGATGTTTCGGGTTCACCTGAAGCTCTGTTGACGGCAGCTGTGAAACTTGAATGTCCATTACCACAGAAAATAATTTTGCCATTTCAAAAAATGTGTTTTGTTTAATAACTGCAAAAACCACAACAGTTACTGTAAGACACTTTCAGTGGAAGTAAATGGGCCACACAACTTTATACCTGCTAACATGAGAGATAAAAATGTTGATTGACCGTGTCTGTGTTAAGTTTTTAAATTCCACTTACTTTCACATGCCATGCTTGAAGGGTTCCACAAAACTACTTTAGGTATGAAAGCCTTTAGTAATTAATTAGTTTATAATTATACCTAGCGTTTTGTACAGCTGGGCCTGAGGACAAACTCAACTGAAAAAGTAGTTAAATTAATGCATGTTCTAGTAGTCGCCTGTTTAAGTGCCCTATGAAGTAGACTTCACAAGTGAACGTTCCATCTGAAGTGAGATTCCAACCCAGGAGCCAACATGTTCAGTTGGAAGGGCACTGCTTATTTATTTTACACATTAAAATTTACGCCAGCGGTCGCGCTACAGTGCTGAGGAGCGCGGCTCTGAGCGGTAAGTGGTCTGGAGATATGATGATAATGTAGTAAAACGAGGCGTATCAGTAGTATTCAGTGCAATTCAGGAGGTCATGCATTACGACACGTATAACTAATAGTACTTGCTGACATTTGAAAAGCAAGAACCTAAAATCGGCTGCGAATACCAAACATCAGTCTGTGACCATCATACACTACGCGATTTTCTATGGAATCTGTCGACTCAAATCTGCAGACTGGCACTAGTGTTAATTTGTCCAGACTAAATCTGGGCAGAAATCGTGTAGTGTGTTCCAGGCTTCAGTCGTTTAGTATTTCTCTCTCTAAACATTTACAAAGTCGCTAAGTGTATGAAGCCTGATGTTTTAAAAAAATGTTCAGATTTGATTCCTCGAATCATGTACCCGTTCATAAAGATGTTTCTAGCAAATATTGCTCAAATAAAAATGGATCGTTCTTTTATGGTTGGGGTAATTCGGAAGTTTGGCAGGTACAAAACTCCTGGCCGAACAAATTACCTGGCATTGAACGGATCTGGCCCTCAGTTTCATTTTCATTATCAAAAAAGTTAACTACGTGAAGCCAGTAACCTGACTAATACCTAATCTGTCGACTCAAATCTGCAGACTGGCACTAGTGTTAATTTGTCCAGACTAAATCTGGGCAGAAATCGTGTAGTGTGTTCCAGGCTTCAGTCGTTTAGTATTTCTCTCTCTAAACATTTACAAAGTCGCTAAGTGTATGAAGCCTGATGTTTTAAAAAAATGTTCAGATTTGATTCCTCGAATCATGTACCCGTTCATAAAGATGTTTCTAGCAAATATTGCTCAAATAAAAATGGATCGTTCTTTTATGGTTGGGGTAATTCGGAAGTTTGGCAGGTACAAAACTCCTGGCCGAACAAATTACCTGGCATTGAACGGATCTGGCCCTCAGTTTCATTTTCATTATCAAAAAAGTCAGTAACCTGACTAATACCCTGTCCGTATCTAAACTTGGAAATTCAGTTCAATATATATATTTTTTATTTTCAGAGGAAGTTTTGAAAATTGCAGTGTAGTTTCCAGCAAACTCTTGCATTTCAAAAGTATGAAGAACATTTTATTGATGTAATGCATGATATGAGCCCTTGTCTTGAATATGTTGAGTCCCAGAGGAATGTTTTTCCTTCAAGAGCTCCAGCATGTGAGCTATTAAAGCCCGTCTGATAGCAGCTGATCCCGGAGAGAGCAGCACTTTCAGCTTCCCGCTCTGAAGTGAAGAGGGCCAAGCATCTTATCAGCGTTCCCAGGCCGGACACAGCATCCTCTTGAGAAGACCGTAGTTCTGAAGCGCTGAGCTGCTTATCAAGAATGGCCTTGAGTAGTGTCGCCATTATTAGCCTGTCAATCACGGTCTGGGCTCATGAGCATTTCAGTTTGAGAAGCTGCTCTATGGCACATGACCATTGATGCACTCAGCAGAAATGGATGCCCTTTACAATCTCCTGTTTCTCTTCACTTGTGTTTTTGCCATGCGGCTACTTCCAGGTGAAACACGGCACTTTGGATCATTCAGTGGCTGGAGGGACGTTTTCTGTTAGTTCCTCTAGAGCTGATGACACCTGATGATTGACGTTAGAAGTGGACCGAACCACACTCATATCTGAGCGTATTACCTGGTTAATTAACTCTAGACCAGGGGTGCCCAAACTCTGTCCTGGAGGGCCGGTGTCCTGCAGAGTTTAGCTCCAACCCCAATCAAACACACCTGAACCAGCTAATCAAGCTCTTATAGGCATACTAGAAACTTCCCAGCAGGTGTGTTGAGGCAAGTTGGAGCTAAACTCTGCAGGACACCGGCCCTCCAGGACCCAGTTTGGCCACCCCTGCTCTAAACACACCCCTGCTTATTGAAATGTATTGGAATTTATACAACAGTTCTTTTCTTTTCACCGTTTGTATCACTCCGCTTGCCGAAGTTGCCGTGTTTCTCACAGCGAGTGTTATGGCGGACGCCCAAATACACTATAATTTTAAAACACAATACTGTTTTTTGTCACGGAATGTAGTTTTAAGAGCATTTTAGGCGAGAATGTGCTTGTTTGGACTTCAAAAATGCGGTTTGTTAATAAAGATAGAGCCTATTTGAAAATTAGCTTGGACGTTTTCGGACACGTGAGCTCCAGAGGGCCAGCGGCTGTTCAGCGCTCATGAGCCCGCAGTGAGAGCGCCTCACCTCATTCACTGCTGGCCCTCATGTCTCGATAGTGGTTAAACATGAGATATTTTTCGCTTTGGGTAAATCTAACGGGCAGTCTTGGTCTCATTAATCTATTATTTGTTCCAGAGTAAATAGTTTTGGCTATTAAATCTCTTAAAATCTCATCATGTTTATGTAACTTCAATGCTGTATATCAGAGCGCTGCCTTTGTACTTCTGACTGCCTCGCAACTTTTATGATGGCTGTTTTTGTTTATTAAATATTATTATTCAATAAATGATAGTAGTATTTAGTATTGGTAAATGGCGTGTGTGTTCATCATGGTGATTTTAGTTTCTTTGTTCCACCATTAGATGGCGACAAAAGACTTAAATTGAAAAATACTAAAGTGCTGTTTTGAGCAAGGAAGTTATTTTTCCTTTCAACACTAGCTTGTATGCAGCCAACAAATGCACCGAGCAGCGCTGTCATCAGAAATCACCCTTAACAGACCAAAGCATAGTACCAGCCTATCTCAAACTAATTGTGAATATGTGATTGAGCTGAAGAATGAATGCTGTATCAGATGCAGGTAATCAATCTCTCTCTCGTAATACTCTATCGCTTTTATTACAGTAATACTGTAAGCTTTTAATGAAGCAACTCAACGTTCCTTCGTTACTAGTTCTAAAGAGATGATCTGGAATTAGTAACAGAGCTGGGCTCAGCTGTTCAACTTTAGATTTGAATCTGTGGCGGAAGGAAGTAGTTCTGCACAAAAGAGGGATTTTAAAGACACTCAGTTGTTATTTTTTGTGTATTTTACACACTGGTGTTGTATAAACGCAATAGCGCACTCGTAGACGTGAGATATGGCTGTATATCGGCACGCTGACTATCTTCTCGTGTGATATTGCTCATATGTGTGTGTAATGATGTGGTGGTGGAATCAGGCCTTGATTCATGATTTATCTCAGTTTTTATGTTGTGAATATGTTAGAGTGTTTAGGAACAATATGTGGTGGACAATCATTGTAGAAATAATGTGCATGAAGGCTTCATAAAGATACTGAAGGTAGATTTCAGCAGCTACTTTCTCTTGAAAATGTGTATTTCTGCATCACAATAACGTAAACACTGCTCAGTGTACACTACCATTTAAAAGTCTGGGTTCAGTGAGATGTTTAATGTTTTGAAAGAAGTCTGTTCTGCTCACCAGGGCTGCATTTATTTGATCAAAAATTGTGAAATATTATTCCAATTTATAATAACAGTTTTGTATGTGAATATGTGTTAAAATGTTGCAGTTTATGCCCTGACGATATATGTTGAGGTCTTACGAAGCGAAACGATCGTTCTGTGCAAGAAACTGAACATTATTGACAACATTATCTCCTGTAATCCAGAGCCTCTTCTTTGCTGTTCTACGCTTTGGATGCTCTGACAGTGAGTTAATTATCAGCACA